GCAGGTCTTATACTATCCCATTACATCCATTGAAAGAAATTATAAGCGAAGGGACACTTGTGGCGAATATAATAAGTTCGATTTTACGAATTTTTTTTCATGACTCATACATACATCCTACGATATGGCCGAACACATCCAGCACCAGCGCAAAGATCCGAAAACTTGCCATCGGTGATCCTTCCCGGGCTAAACAACCCGATATGATCGGGAAAACTGTCAATAATGGTACTTATTAGTATGACGAATTTTGTCAAGCAAAATTTCGACCGGAGCCGGTATAGACAATTTAATTAATGATGGCCGGTATATAAAGGGGAAATTCATATGTGAAAATCCGTTCCTGAAAATTTTGGCCGTTATAGCAAAAACCGGTATAACCGGGGGACGGTATAAAGAGGTTTCACTGTATATATATTTTTCCATTGTTTATATTGTTATATGATGTACAACTACAATATAAGCCCTTTTTTTAGGGGAAAGATTGTCTTATCGTCCATCAAATCCTGCTGCAACCGGCGAAAGTGTGAACCTCTTGAACAAAAAGCAGATGGTAGATTTCTAGCACGATTACAAAGATCATGTCTTGAGATCGGACATTTAGAAATGAGCGGGGGTGTATGACCACCGACACGATCTACTTGGGACGGATGCTGCAAAGGACCTCTAGGAAACATGTATATGCTTGAAGATATTGGCGGGAGATATCGGGAAGCATCACCAAAATCATGCCAACACATGTGTCTTTTTTGTGCATACACACAGTAAGTATTGTTTGGATTTGTGGTTTACTGATACCAAATAGTTTACTTATTCAGATTTGTATTTATAGAAGATAAAATCGAACTCTGGCAAATGTACAACCGTGCTAGAGGGATTTTGCAATGGGAACGCACTCACAAGGCGATTGTTCCGATCTGTTATGAGGAACAAAAAAAAATATCTTTTTGATTTCGTGGTCTTGCTCTGGGATCTGAAAGTATATATTAACTGTTTTCACAGATGATTTTTATTTCTTGCTTATTGACCTCTATCCATGTTATTAGGAATGTTTGATTAATACGGTAAACATGGTTCGACAATTACAAGACGAAGATAACGATGGCATAGGCAAGCTATCGGGAAGACTTCCCCCACATCCAGGTAAACCCAACAAAGAACAACATAAGAAAGGCATCAATTCTGTTGAGGTTAAGAACGACATGTCAAGTTCTCCCATTCGATCGGACTAATAATAGTTGTTAATGTGTAATGTGAATTATTAGAAATAAATATTAAGCTGCGGCTCAATCAGATTACATCGTAACTTCCGAAAGTGAGAAGAGCCTTCACGAGTTTGGGCCATAAAGTGGCTCCTGATCTTTTCTCTGAACTCCCTCAGAGAGCTGAACCTTGTTTGGCTTGCAAAGAGGAAATTATAAACTCACATGCGATGTTCCAGTGTGGTCATACTTTTCACATGTGATGTATCTTCAGTCCGCAAAGAACGATGTCCAGAGTGTATTGTCTATGCTGTTATATCTAAGCTTGGGTCCAATAGCACTCTTATCATGAATTTGAACGACAAACGATCGTTATATTTTGTGATGAATTAAAAGCATGCGTGGATGCGGACTGTGACTTTCCATTTGACAGCATAGTTAGTAAGATCTAACATACCAACCCACCATCAGATAAGGCGAAATTCGTCCGTCTTCAGAATATTAGTAGCAGGTTATTTCTAAGCCAAAAACATTTGGCTCTTTCTTGTATGGAGCAGTGGGAACGCCAAAGCGGGTTTCATAATCTCGCCTAATAATTATTTTCAAATTGAAAGAATATTTTTCATACCTAACAAAGTGAGTATAGAATCGATATACCATGTCAGCTATTGCAACAAAAATCGTCGAAAAATACAATCTCACTCCAGAGATGGTATACTTCTAACGAACAAGTAAGCATACTGATTACCTAATCAAAAAACGTCGCAAACATTGCAACTTTATCTTAAAGCGACTAGTTTGACTATGTGTATTTATCATAGCAATAGCAATGTAAACTACAACTTGACACAGTAAATTCGGTGTACTGTTATGTGCAGTTGGCTTGAAATCAGGCAAACAGACTACAAGTTTAGATAATACACAATTAATAGTGATTTAATTCTATATTAAAGTCTAAAAGCCAGTCTATATACCCTACGATTACCAAAAACTTTCTGTACAATTACATAACTTTCAACTTGTCTAGTTCAAGGAGGTCTCTTCAAGCGTATGCTTGAAGCAATCAAAGAACTCGTCTCTGATGTAACCAAGGCCTGAGTCTATATTACGGGAATCTTGCGAGATAACTTGTTGCAACCATAATATTCTGTGAATCATCATAATCTACCATCTTCTATGGTCTAGTTTCTTGTTCCGTTTATTATTTCAATATTAATTGTTGTCGAGTTTGATTATTCTTTCTATTATCCTGACATATTTTACAGATCTTCTAATACAAAGTCCACGACATTATTGGATACGTAAATACTTCTTTAAAACCCTACAATAAAACAGATAAGGTCATTCACGTACCCCAATAAGCATAAATAAATTCACATGTGATACTATACCATATTTTGCTTGCGTTTCCCTCTTAGTCTTACGATTTGTAGCAAATTGCTCTTTGAGATCATTCTCCATTGACTTGGACTGAAATGCTAGATACATAATATTGTGCTTACGCTTTTGTCCTTTAGTAGGTTTCAAATGCTATATCACATAAATAACCAAGTCAGTACCAGGAAATGCAATGTTCGTTCATCCCCATTATACATACTGAATAGCTGCCGGTTGATGTAGCAGGTCTTGATATATCGGCAACCTGGGACTTCCACGCATCAGCCAGCTGATCAGCTGCACTGATCTCCTTTATCTGTATTGGGCCTGCCCTCCCTCGCCTTCCTCCCAATTGTTGTAGCTATAATAAAAAAACAGAACAATGTTTGGAATGACAAATCCACAGCAAGGACGCTACGAGGTCCAATTTTCTTCAAAAGTATATAAACTCAATTTCTTACCACATCATTATCAATTTTGGCCTCTGTTTGTTCCTCATGCTGTTCGTTTGATATGCTATGATCATGATAATACGCGTCATATGCATCATTATTATATTCGTCATATGCACTATGCTCGTTATACGCACTGTGGTCGTCAGATACATATTGCTTAGTAGACAATTGATACTGCTTATAATACGTATTAGAATTAACCGTGCCAGTACTGGAGACGGTCTTCTTTGGAGCAGGCAGCAGATCCAATAGCCCGCTTCCTACTTTCACCCTCTTTGTTTCTCTCTCTTCTTCACTCTCATTGCCCTCCGATATTTTCGGCAGATCAACAAATATTTTTACCGGTCCATCCAGTTTCCCTTTGGAAGACGCTTGACTTGGGTTAGTATAAGCGTTACTTTTTGGTGGTTGCGGCTTGGAAGATATGGTTTCTTTTGAGGAAGATTTGGGTGGGGGAAGGACGTTTAGTAAAGAGCATGAGTGTGATTTTGAAGTGGGAGGTGGCGAGGGAGAATCTTCATCCGCAGAAGAGTCGGAGTGATAATCAGCAACCAAAGACATTATGAGAAGTGTTTGAGAAGTAAGAGTATTGGAAGTGCACAATTTCTGTAATCACGTGTATAAATAGATCCGCAAAGAATGTTACACAATTCAATCACGTCCACTATATAGCGGTACTAAGATTTATTTATTATTATCGAGACGTTTTTCTAACAATACTCAATCTCAACTGCTCCAACTTGTCCTGAATCAAATCGATTTTTTGTTTCGTTTCCTCGATCATTTCCGTTCTGCAACAACAAAATAATTTGAACAAAGGATACATGTTTCATGTCATGTAAAAAATACACAATAATTCACTTACTCTTTAGATAATGCCTCACGAACTTTAGCCAATTGGCTTCCGGACAATTTAAGACTTGCTTTATTCTGCGGCTTGAGTAGATGGTAATCTTCTCGTAACGATCCATGGATTTCTTCGAGCTTACAAGAAATTACAAACAATAAAATTTCTGTCTGCACACCGTACCTTCAAAAACCATCTTTTCTCTAAATTCGCATACTCACTTCACTAATTCTCGCCCGCAATCCACCACCATTTTCGTCATCAATTTCCAGCGTTAACCGCTCAAGGCTTTCCAAATACACCTGCTGCTGTTCGTCAGAAGCCGGCTCCTGTTCATGAAGTAACTTTTGTAATAGTGTCATGGCTCTTATTTCTATCGTTCGTTGACGCTCTCGCAATGCCAATAGCCGTTCTCTCGCTTCGGCTTCAAACAATACTGCATCTTCGATTACATCACTAAGCTGAAATAGTTGGGCCGCCTGCGCTTTGGTGCGGTTGTCGAGGTCATCCAACCTATTAAATAACAAAAATGAGTGAGATTCGGCAAATTGGATTTCAAGCATTGTATATAATAAGATTGAATTAGCTGTAATCAGTTTGTTACAACAGATGTCCTCACCCGGTTATTATAGTCTCAGCGTATCGATTAAGATACTTGGCTAGTTGAATAACACTTATAGTCATTTCAGGCGACAAATCAGGTACATTCCGCGATTGAATGATTTGCGGTCGTCGGGGTAAGCCTTGTGAATTGAAGAATTGACTTAGTGCTTCAATTGCTGGCGATGGTGACACAACTGGTTTTTCCGATTGAATAAACGGTCTTAATTGAACAGCAGATATTGCATTTATAGCTGTCGGAAGTGCAAGTTCTTGACAAGCTACCGTTCTTGACTTTGTAAGCATTATTACGGCATAACATAATGGAGCACCATGGATTAGACATAGACCGACGAGAGGATCTGGCTCTGGTAGGCTAAAGAATCAATAGTATTGGAATTGAGTACATGATGGATAACTATCTGATTAAAACGTTCTGAATCCTAATAATGACGTTTACCCTTGATTTTGAAAGAAAATTCTTCCGCTACCAGAAACATGCGAAGCAGAAGCATGAATAGCATTATCTTGCGTAGTGGCGACCCAAATCACATCCGAATGGATATCCGCTTGCAACACCGATATATCTCCTGCCTCTATTCCATTGTCATACATTCGTTTCAATTCTCGCATCCAGGGTTGTACGCTTATTGCATGAAGTCCCTCTCCGTGGTAGACAAAAAACCTATCTGGGCAAAGTGCATCACGCACAAGGCTCGGAGAATGCTTTATTAATGGCGTATTACTTTGATGATTTGGGGTAAAATCCAAATCGATACGTTCATATAAAGTAAGACCCGGACAGTATGGTGGTAATTTCGACAACTACAATAAAGAAAAAAGACTGGATAGCAAAATATTCATAAATACAACTGTAGAATTATCATTTCTGCACGTTACCTGCCATGCGCCCTCGATTCTTTCGAACTGAATGTGTGCGTTCACAAAACCATTGTCATACGCGATTATAATCACCCCGACAGGATCAGAATCCATGTATATAATATCCGTAGCCGAATATGGGTGAGTTGATGCAATCGGTTTTGGCTTGATCTCAAAAGGGCCTTGGATTTCAATATGTTCGGGAAGAGTTGGCGCATTAATAACAACCCTTTCATTTTCATCGTCTTCAATTTGGTTCATGACTGAGCATATCCATTCTGCTTGTTGGCGGTATAGCTCATAGAGCGTTGAGTAAGCTTTCTTGTCCAGATTATAGGAGCTTTCTGCCTGTCTGAGTTTGAACGAGATAAGACACGCAAGACGTTCAAGATGTTCCCTACTGCAGATGCTTTTTGCCCATTATGTATATGGAAATTATTAAAGATAGTCCATCAAAAAACCTTCCGACAATCTACTATGTTTATTAGTGATCGACATACTTACCTTCTATTAGGTAGGAACGGACAAACGGCTCGGATATCACCTTCCTTCATAACCACATAAATCACAAAGGGGCCCCAATCATCTTTACCCTCTCCGAAGCAGAATGATACTGCGTCCTCAGACTTTGAGTCAAAGGATGCATACCGAGACGGAGGACGCGCCTTTGATGAAAAATATATTATTTGTTCAGGTTGCTTGAGATCCTCGAATACATCGTACATTCTTCATCGTAAAGAACAGAAATATATGATAAATTTTTTCGATTTCAAAAAATTGACTGCAACACTAGTGTCAGCTTACTTTAACACGCCGTCTTCTGTCAAAACAACAAGATGGCTTCCACATTCACTCAATGGATGCCATGCCACTTTCACTATTTTAATACCCTCTCCTGGCTCATGAAGAGTTCCAACATTATATGCTCTATGCAGAAATAACAAAGCAGTTTGAATCATATCGGGAAATTTTATTCAGTCACTGAAACTCATTATTACCTGCAATCATCGTCTTCTTCTTCTGTGTATTCTGGCAAAGTAACAACCACCAGTTCTGATTCTCCTGCGACAGCAATCATTCTCGCTTTATGATAAGAATCGAGAACTATCGATTGAATTTGAAATCCAATCTCCGGAATATGCAACTCCTAAGAAGTACACAATATTAACAAGAGCCGACCGTAGTAGTCATCCCCCTTATTTGAGATTGCTATCCTTTGCGCGCGGGATTGTCTGTAAACACGTACCATGTAATCAACTTGATTTAGTCTGTCTAAAGTATCCGCGATATCATCGTCATGATCAAATCTAACAAGGACAGACATTAGATCTAGAAGATTCAAAATTCGAATCTTAGACCTGATAGCAACGTAAAGTTCATTGTTCGAGAACGCAAGGCATGATTGCTTGCCGTCGACAACTATTTTCGATAAAGTTGTGCGCCAGAGTCAGTAAGAAGGGATGGTCTCTACGTGCTCAACTGAGTTTAGCTATTTGCAATCAGAGCTTATGTCGTATTGGGAAACTCACATTCAATATTTTCATTAGCTATACCATCGCTGAAGATAGGGTGCTCGTTTAACAGCTCCAACCATTCTGTTGACTGATCAAGAGGATCTGGTGACATTATTATTTATGATATTCGACAGTCTTGGAAGTTTGACATGCGCAGAAATAGTATATTTTGGAGTATTAATCATATCAGTCAAAAAGACATAGCACAGAGTTCAACTAAACAAAATAAACTACATTTTTATTCGATTGCTTTGCAAAAGCAAGTTTGCATTTTCAATAACTTTATACTATTAATTGGCTTATTATTATACACTCTTAGACCCTTAATCACTATAACTAACATTAACGCGTATGTATAGTTTGAACAACTAAAATACTTACATTCTCCAACAGAAAGGATCGTACAATTTGGAGCCACGAAATTGACATTTGATACGTCACACCATCTAGCTAAGAAATTAGAATCTGCGATTGATAATCAAAGAAGCCTTCTTGATTTCTCAATCTTCATAGACGAAGTTATCATGGAGGGGCTCTACTTTAACGTAAACAACGGTTACTTAGAAGGCATCGTACGGGGGTATAAGAGTGCCGTTCTTAACACAAATCACTACCTAAATCTCACACAATGCGAGACTCTTGAAGGTAACTATTTGTATCTTTCGCGACCTACTCACAGTTAAAAACCCAGTCTGAGCTTGTAATCAAATTTTTATACTTTAGATCTCAAACTCCAACTAAGTGCAACAGACTACGGTAACTTTCTTGCGAACGAACCCTCACCTATTGCCACGTCTACAATATCCGAGAAGGCTACAAAGAAGTTGGTCGACGAATTTAATTATGTTCGTTCTAATGCTGTTGGATCACTAGCCAAGTTTTTGGATTATCTGACGTAAATATACCAAGTTATTCGTCGTTGATGGTTACCGACTCTCAAGTGGCCGCATTGCAATTTTTAACAGAAGCGTGTTGTTCAAATAGATATGCTTATATGATCGATAATGTAATTCTCTTGATAACTGGGACGCTGCATGAAAAAGATACACACGAATTGCTCGAACGATGTCATCCATTAGGGGTGTTTGAATCCATGCCTGCTTTGTGTGTTGCGACTAACACTGCTGATTTGTATGATACAGTGTTAGTGGAGACACCACTTGGTACGAAGTTTTAGTTGGTAAATTAGCCAGTTATCTTTTGCTTTATTGAATTAATGATGTATATAAATTTTTTAATTTTCGTTTTTCAAATTCGGCAGCCCCATATTTCAAGGACTACGTATCGGCAACCGACATTGATGAAATGAACATTGAGATTATCCGTAATATACTTTACAAGACGTACTTGGAAGATTTTTACGGTTACTGCAAGAAGCTTGGCGATACTACTGGCGAGTTGATGTGTGAAATACTAGAGGTCATCTAATACCCATTCCTTGTTCTTGTAAGCTTGACCGTTTAGTGAATCTATATTTACTTTTTTTATATTTAAAACATGCATGCAGTTCGAGGCTGATCGACGCGCAATCAACATAACAATAAACTCGTTTGGTACGGAGCTCTCGAGAGACGACCGTGCAAAACTTTTCCCAAAGTTGGGAAAATTGTATCCAGACGGACATTCGAAACTTGCTCGGGCTGACGACTATGATCAGGTTAAAGGCGTGGTTGAAGTGTGGGCGGTGAGTATCGTCGACGATAAAGCACAGAGATTTAATACATATTTCATGAAAGTGTCACAACATTGAGGTTCCCACCCGATACTAACGTATGTTTCCACTTTAGGAGTATCGTCCATTTTTCGATACCACTTTATCAGAAGCCAAGACGCTCGAGGACAGTTTCTTCGAATACGAAGTGCATCTTAATAAATTAACTTTCCAACAGCAATTTAATTATGCTATCTTTTATGCATTTTTAAAATTAAAGGAGCAGGAAATTCGCAATATTATTTGGATTGCTGAATGTATTAGTCAAGGACAGAAAGAGAGGATCAATAACTATATACCGATCTTCTGATGAAGAGTACTATAACATAGATATTGAGGACTGACTAATATTGGAGGAAGTTGATGTAGTATAATTAATTTGTTTATTAAATTATTGGTGCATATAACGTGAAGTCTCTCATTTATAATATATACCATTCACGATAAATCTACGGAAATCAAACCAAACGTTCAAGTTTTATTCATAAGGACTCGATAAACATACACACTTACATCCTCGATCAACTCTTATCGTACTTTACGCCTTTCCCCCTTCATGATACTATCCGTGAACATAAGTAGGCCCACGCATAGCAGGCGCTGCATAAGGATTCAATGGATTTGCAATTGGAGCTCTCTCTACGCCTGGTGGTATTCCTTCAGCATATCCACCAGATCGATCATTCTTGAAGAAGAACTGTAACGAGAACTGTTTCGAATCAGGGTCCCAATGAGTGAAGAACTTACCTTCACCTTTATCAACCTCCTTACTCTGCACTTTAAAAGAAATAGTCTCATACGGTTCAGCAGCAAAGAGAAGGTACTGATGTGCTTTGTTAGGAGGCTCAATTCGCTGTTCATAAGCAGACATGAATCGATGGCGTGGCGTCACATCTATGCCAATCTCAGGATACTGGATTTGAAAAAGCAGCCCAAGTTGTCTTGTAATAGGATCTCGTACTTTGGTAACTTTATACCCAGGTCGACCTATCTTGACCAAGTTCTTTTTCACCTGAATTTTCTGTGCCGCTGATAATGCCGGTTGAATGTTGTTGTTCTCCTTGGCATCTCTTGCAGCTCTCCGCGCAAGGTTAGTCTGATGTTTCTTTCCTTGTGTGTGAGCCAAATAGCTACCCTCATTAGTATGAAGTGTTAAGCATAGCTTGCATTCGTATGAACCCAAATGATTTTTCATAAAGTAGGGATCTTTATTGAGATCTATTGTCTCGAGGGCTAATTTGCGTAGACGTTCTCTGCGATCAACATTGGTTTCACTGTAGCCGGCTACACCACCGCTACCGACCTTTGAACCTACAAGATTGTCGAGCAAGAGTTTGAGAAACAGACAGAACACGGAGGCGGGTAAGAAGAATATGATGCCTCGAAGCTCGAATTACATACCAACTCTGTTTTGGTAATCCATTTTTTATTGATCTATAAGCGCGAGAGATAACGAAATCATTTGCATACTTATCAAGTCTTGTGATTTAAAGCCACATAAGCCACAACAGATTATTGGCTTTTAGCCAGCAAGTGGCGACTTAGAGACATAAGTTACTACAGGGGGTACCAAAAAGTTTGTGAATTTTTTTTCCGTTACACTAAAGTTAGGCTGAAACACATTCTTCAATCGTT